GACTTATCTATGTACCATGTACTGTTATCCAAGGTTATCCATGTACTGAAAAGGATAAGATATAAACTATGGTGCATGGATTAGTGAAGGTTTCATGCTGACCATTGCCATAGGTTTGGAGCGTGGGGTTGGCTGTAACCAATGGTGGTGATTTTAAGCGTGTTTGGTTACATTCGACCTGGCGCGAGGTCACCATGTTCTGGAAAAAATAGAATATCGTTTATGTCGCATCGATTGGGGAAGGCTTCACGCTGATCGGTGCCATAGACTCAGGAATATGGGTTGTCTGCAACCGTTTTCCGGTTTGTGACATTTTTGTGACCTCTGACTTAACCCAATGATGCCGTGTTCTGGAGTGGCTAGGTTATTGACCAAGTGGCATTAAATGGTGGAGGTTTGGTGTCGATCATGGCCATGGGATCGAAGTATGGGGTTGTCAACGAGTTTAGTCGGCCGTTTAGGCCGTTAGATAGCCTTAGTTTAGGCAATATCTTTGCGATGGACGGACTCGAGTTCATTGACCCTATCGCGTTTTGTTCCACTGCGGCCGCAATCACGCGGTGGTGGCGCGTAGGTAGGTGGTGCTAATCGAGCTCTCGTCAGCAGCGGTCCAAGCCGTCTCGGGCAGGTTCGGATAGGTCCTGAGGAATAGGTACCTGCTTTGACTTTGTTGCCCCGGATGGATTTTACGCGCATCGGCGCAAGTGAGAGTCGTCAGGTTGAGAATGCGTCGCGCTATCGTGGTGATTGTATGCGAAGGGTGAGGTCTACCTGCTTGTGAGTGAGGTGCAACTTTGCGTCTTAGGTATATGCATGTGGAATGTGCCTATCAGCCAATACCATGCTTGACAGCAAGTATGTCAGCATGTACTTTTTTGTATGTATTGGTCCTTAAAATTCCCATGCAGACAGGCCAGGGCAAAATTTTGGTGTCACCAGCATAGGCCTTTTACTTATTAAATGTTCTGAATTAGCTGAATCCAGTGTTATATCAGCACAGTATTGGTATGAGTGGATGCAGATATTTTGGTTCTAGTACATTCATTCAGTTTTTTGTGTCTACTCCATGTAAAATTTGTTTTAGGTACATTAGGTTGGGCTAAGCCAGGCTAGGCTAGGCCAGGCTAGGCTAGGCCAGGTTAGGCTAGGCTAGGCCAGGCTAGGCTAGGCCAGGCTAGGCTAGGCTAGGCTAGGCTAGGCTAGGCTAGGCTAGGCTAGGCTAGGCTAGGCTAGACCACACTAGGTTATGTTAGGGCTAGGCTAGACCACATTAGGTTATGTTAGGTTAGGCTACATTAGGCTAGGTCAGGTTAGGTTAGATTTGTGTTACTCCTCTTCTGAAAAGGCTATTTTCATTGAGGAATTGCAGGTGGATTATAACTTCATAGCAATGGCACCAGCAGGTTGGCAGTGTTAAGTCCTGGGATTGCTTGAATGTAATCTATAGTAATTATTAAATGTTGAATTTTGAAGGTAGGCATGTAGCTGTACCTGTTGCATGGTTATCTACAACACTTTGTGCCATAAAGCAGATGATTTATGTACAGTGCTCTTTAGTAACATAAGGTATCTATGTCTACTTGTGTTTGTGTACCTATGTCTACCTACCATCTGTCTACTTGTGTTTCTGTCTACCTAGCTACCTGTCTACCATTGGCTGTACATGCCCAATTTCATGTTTCAGGTAGCTGAAAGGATTAGCAAACTGCGATTTAAGTAAATAACAAGACACCTGACAATGGCAAGGTAAGGGTCGGTGTGGATGCAGATGACAGAATCTCACTGCCAAGGGGAATATCTTACGTCTCATGCAGTGGCTGTATGACTGTGTGATTTTGAGAGTTGGCACCACTACCAGCATTTCTCTTCTGACTCAAAACCAACTTTTAGTTGCCTCCCATTTTCTCCTAATGACATCGTGCCACATTCTTGGCATATTGCTCTCAACCATCCCACATGTCTTGTGGCACAGCAGCTGGTGGCTGCCACATGGGCAGCCATGGGCAGTCTGGACCTACCTGCTGTTGCCTGGACTTGAGATTTGGAAAGTGCAGAGCAATGTGCTATTGATGGCAGATGCAGGGTGAACCATCCTGTTAGCTCTCCAATGTGGAAGATTGTTTCCTTACAGTGCCTGTCATAACAACCGCATTAACGATAAGTCTGAATGGCAGCGAGGGCTTCTGCCTGGGGGAGCACACCCTGAAAGTGCCACTGGAGCTGCACCGGCTGAACCGGCAGCGACTCTGCAAAGAGTTGCGGAGCACTGACGGCGTGCCGGCCGGCGCGGTGGTCGTGCTGCAGGGGGGCGAGGCGACCACACGCTACTGCAGTGACGCCGAGCACGAGTTCAGACAGGTGCGCCCACCACCGCTCCGACGGCCGGCTGGCTGCGGCTGCGGCTGCGGTGGAGGCCGCGGCTGGCCCGGTGCATGTCCCTGGGGCACTCAGACTCCCTCAGGGTTTTGTGATAGGTTTGCCTTGGCTTTGGGTTCGGGCACAGGAGAGTAACCGTGCTATTGCTTGCAGATGCAGCGTGAACCACCCTGCTAACTCTCCTGTTTGAGGGGCTGTTTTCTTGCCACACTAGACGGGTCGGATGATCATGCTGACCTAGAAATGATCCATGCCTGTTGCCGTGCGCTCTCCGGCTTTTGCGCGTCCCCACGAAATGGTCGCGATCAGACGGCCCTGTAAGTGCATTGACCAGTACGTGCAAAGGCCACTGGTATGAGGAGTATTGGAGGTGACTGAGCGAATATCATACATATACCTCTATTTTGAATAAACTTGCTGTCAATTGGCCACCAGCTAAAATATGCAAAAATATGAAAAGATATGCAAAAAATGCGCAAAAATAAAATGTGCGGAGGGATCTTTACGGAGGGACCTGTACACGGTATCGGTGGCGTTATCAGTGTCAGTGGCTCGCCCTTTGATGGCTGGTATATGGACACATGTGCTGCTGTTTTTTCTCGTACTGGCCGCAACCATGGGTGCATCGGCGGCATTTCAACCTTTGATTATGCCGGCTTCTTGCGGCAGGCAGGTTTGAATGGAGCCTTTATGAGAAACATTCCAGATGAGAGAGCACGTTTTCACATGATCCGTGGTGCCAAGCATTTGGCCTGCAGTTATACCGAGTATTCTTGGCGCTGTCTCACTGGCGAATGATGCGATGCACCGGTAAATCACGAGATGCTGACCTCCGGTAGGATTTTTGAGGGAACGCGACGCAGCAGCTTGTGCTCAGGCTGCTGGAGTATCGCTGGTACACAAACGCTGCGGACGTCGTCGTCATGCCGCCACCGCGTACACAGAGCGCCGCGCTGGCCGCTGGCTGCCGCGCCGAGCGCTGCGTCTGCCGCGCCGGGCGCTGACGTCTGTCCCCGCGCGCAGGAGTCATTCTTTCACTGGGCGTTCGGGGTCCTGGTACCGGACTGCTATGCCTGCATCGAGGTGGCCAGCGGGCGCACCACCGTCTTCTACCCGCGCCTGGACGAGGTGTACGCCACCTGGATGGGCCGCCTGCTCACCGCCGACGACGTCAAGGCTCAGTACGGCGTAGACGACGTCAAATACGTCGATGAGGTAGCTGCACGAGACGACCGCTTGTGCTGGCTTGTATGGCCCTCCCCCTGCGGCTAGAAGGGTGTGTCTTGGGATCTTTGGTATGCCTTCGCTTTTGCCGTTACTTTCGGTGGATTTTCAACCAACATAAAATTTTGCTTGTGACAAAAGATTATTTCTAAGTTACATACAAAGCTATAAGGTTTAGGTTTACGTGGATTAACAAAGGTTATGCCAAACCATCCACTTGGGATCGTGCAGTCGACGTTTAGTCGGATGACGCGGTGGTGGCACTTTATTTCGTGCGGCCTGTGTTCCTGCGCATCAAGACTTGATGGAAGCACTGACCTCTGTGTTGCTGTGCTCCGCAGATAGCGAACGTCATCCAGGGAATGAAACCGGATATGCTTCTTTTGCTGGTAAGGAGGTGATTAGGGGCGTGTACGCTCACCCTCCTTGCGAGACTGGAGCGTTTTTCTGGCATGTTTTGCCTCTGTTCTTTCATCCGCAGCATGCTGTCCGAAGTGCATTGGTTTTTGTATTGTCCCACGCCGGGATTGGCGGTACGTATTGATCGAGTTGCTGTCCTGCAGTTGGGCTGCATACGGCCGCCCCCGTCACTTGAACAGTTATCAGCTCATTGTGCTGCTCCATTCATCGCTGTTTCTGTGATCTTATTCCAGGAAGGCGTGAATTCGGACAGCAAGAAGACCACGCGACCTGCCGCGTTTGATGGCATGAGCAAGTAAGCGTTCTTACTCACAAAGGCAACAAGCGATCGGTATGTGGGCGGCATCTGACATACGCTCTCGGGATTGAAGCATCAAGTGGGTTGGTGTGCCCTGGTTGTTAACCGATGACCCAGTACACCGTATGACCCCGGACAACACCCTGAGCCATACCCCATTGGTACCGGGTGTTCGTAAGTGCGCTATGGTTCTTTACATGCAGGCATGTCTCGTCGCTGTGCGTTCATGTAATGGGTTCGGCCTACAGGAGAGGGATTTTTAGTTCCATGCACATATGGTGCGATATATCCTCTTGCTTTTGTTGGACACTTTTTGTCAGCCATGTGCGATTTCTTCTGCAGTTTGTGTGCAAAGGTTTCCTAAGCATATGCTAGTAGGAGGCTAGTATCGCTGTGGTGTGCCAGCGACCAAATACCAGCCTCTCAGTGCATATTTTTGTTCAAAAAACAGTTTTTCGTTAGCCCTAGTACTCTAGTACTAGGGCTAGTAGTTAGCCCTAGTACTCTAGTACTAGGGCTAGTACCTAGTACTGGTGCTCTCGGACGCGTCGGATAAATTTAGCGCACACCTTATCTACTTAACGACTGCTAGGACACCTCACGAAGTTTTGTGCTACGGGCGCGTCATTTTCACACATGGCCCGTTGGACGACGGACGGCAACGCCGCATGACCGGGCGGTGTCGCCGTCCGTCTTGTGTCCGGCCCACTTGTGTCGTTGAGGCCGGCTCTCCTGCCGCCAGGTTCAAGACGGACTACGGCCTACTGTACCCGGTCATCTCGGAGCTGTGAGTGGCCTCTCGGTCGCGCCGATAGGCGGTGCAGGGAGTCACGCGCTCTGCACCGCGACAGATAGTGAGAGCGGCTATCTGGGGGCCGACTGTGGGTCTGGGCGGCCGGGGCGGCGTACCGACGGCTAGCGCGTTCATTTGGGCCTGGCACAGGCAGGGGGGGGGGGGGTGTATGCGGGCTGCGTTTTCGTTTATCTGACCCTTGTGTTGTGAGATATGAGACGGCCCGCCCGCGCAGACCCAGACTGATGACCGGCTGATGTCCGGCTGCTCATGGCTGTCTGCGGTCTGGTGTCCTG